CAGCCAAGCTTTTTTGTTGTTCTTTCATTGCACGATGAGAGCGCATAAGCACATGCAGATTTTTAAGCAACATCTTTCCACAGACAAAAAAACCCTATAATTCCCAATAATAAATGTTCTTGGATACCCAGTTTCAAATATAAAAATTCATGTTATCTTCAGGGTTACCTGTAAGACAAAAGACCTGCAGTAACTTGATCAAATTGACAAATCGATTGATCTTCTAAATTATGACTTCTCCTCTCTGATAGAGTAATACCAGGAAGACAACAGCCACACAGGGAAAAAGCAGCAGCTCTCAAACCTTAGCAGTCTATCAGAAGTCTTCTAGACAAGCCTGGAAACACTTTCCACCATTCAAACACTTACAATGATTTCTACAGTCATTCTAGATGACCAAGCCTGTGAATGACATTCAATCATCTGGCACTGCATTTCAGGCGTTTCTGTAGATGCACTGATATAGCTCAAAGCACCTATGCCCTCTCCTCTGTTTCTTAAAACTTGGAAGTTTTAGATGGTATGTATTGAAAAATGACAAGGAAGGCAAAGAATGCAGAAGAAATAATTTCTGCAAATGTACTAATCACATACCCCATATCATGGGACAAAGGAAGAACATGAAACTTCTCTTCCATAACTGTCTGCGGAGATGGAACCCCTTATGCAGTTGCTACAGGAACTACTCATGCCAACTGAAAGCTGAAAACTGGTGAGAAGACTCTAAACACAGCAGTGAAACCCAAAGCACATTACTTCAAACAAACAAGACTGTCCTTCTGCATCTATCTTTAACGCAACACCAGAACTTCAAATATTTTGAATTTATTTATTTATTGGGATTGGAGTTTTCCCCAGCAAGGAGAATAGAGCCCTGGCCACTTTGCAGGAAAATATCACCCATTCCAAATTAAGACCTAAATTATAGATGTTTCACTTCAAGTATTTGTGAGTTTTACTAATACTTCAAACCATCTCTGAGCTTTTTTCATTCCTAAAGCTGGCTGCAGACAACTGAAGCCCTTGAGCACTACAAGCTCACAGCAAGACAATTACATCCCAACCTATACAAACCATCTTATCTAATAAAATTGAGCCTTATGAGGCTCAGTTACCTTCTGAGATTATTACAACTGCCAGGATCTCCACAGCAGCCAAGATTGTTCAGATTGCCCTCAGACTCAGCTTAATCATCACTGTTTGTTCCTACATGATCACTTAGTGTCAAGTATCTACAAATTCCTTCCACGAACAGAAAAAAACCTAATCTACTTTTTAACTTAAACTTTTAACTTTAACTTTTTACCCTAGGCAGGACAGCTGCAATGCTGGTGTTCTCCAACACAAGTACACTTCAGTTTGGCTTCATTTAGACCAAAGGAAGAGGTTTGTTCAGTTTTATTTCTCAATTATGAGAAGTTACAATGCATTTTTGAAGGTGGAATTTCAGCTTAGTGTTGAAATATCTTGCTTCTGAATCCCCTTTACAGAAAGTACAAAGAGTAATAACTCAAACACCTGTACTGAAATTCAAGCATCAGAGAAACAAGTATCTTAAAAAAAGATGACTTTGATGATGTTCCTTTGTATCCACTGAAATTCAGGACTAGGTCCCATCTGGGTCATCAAAACTGTTACCAAAAATCAGTAAAAATAAGAAACTCCTTACCACCAAGGCAGTATTAAGAAGCAGGCATTCTTTATGTGGCTGGATGCACAAGAGGATATCTCCTCCAAAATACCATGCATACTGAGAAAAACCTCCTGTTTATATACTGTATTTTACATACATATTCATTGATTTCCTGGAATAAACATACATATGATAACCATTTCCCCAAAATCATTAACATATTTTCCCTCCCCTTTCCACATGTGTCTTTCTGTCCTGAGAGTCTCTTTGGTGGTCCCTGGTGGTCATCAACCCCAAAGTCATATCTGACTGCTTGGGAATTGGTAAAAGTTGGCACAACTGGGTTGGTTGCTTTCTTCCTAAAGAATATGTATTGTGCAGTTCCATAGGCCAGTGGTTTTTGAAGAATAAGCATTGTATTAGCCCACCAGGTGCAAACGATTTTTCATCTGGCAACAATGAAGGCAAGCCAGCAGAAAAAGCCTAATTATCGTGAGATTACTATAAAAGAAAAAAACTATTGATTCCAGCATAACAATTTTTTATTTTTATTTTATTTTTATTTTAATTAGATGGGAGATACATTAAATCTCTCCTAAATCAGCATCCTTATTTTGAAACCTTACATTTTTAAAATTTAACTCAACATCCAAACACTGTATTTTTAGTTTAATGTGAAAGATGTATTTCAGTGAAGTAACCTTTTCACAACTAAAAATATCCTAAAAAAAGTCCTGTTACCAATGGTTAAATACAGACTATTTACTACTCAAACTATCTTCAATGTTTTCATTCTGATATGAAAAGTGTCTTTTGACACATTGGTGCACTTACTCAAAAACTGACAAGGTAAAATAGCAATGTTTAGAAATCTTCATTTTCTAGATGATCTTCATTTAACTATTCTATTTCAAATGTCACCACGAACATTTGCATGCTCACATAGGAATACTGTCTACTATTTTGATGTCCGTATGAGTAACTCTTCCGCCAACTTCACTAGTAACTCATTTGGAAAAGGTTAGATTTCTAATTCCTCTATGTGGATTAAATGTCAGGCACTTCTTCAGTAGATCAGGTTATTCTATAGGGAGAATCTGCTGAAGATATGACATACCAACTATTTGATCTTTACATAACATTTTCCCAAAAGGATTTTCCTTTTTGCTTAGGAGCAGGAAGGACAAAAACAAAACAAGAACGCAGAGCAGACAGACAGTGATTCATTACAGCCCTACCGGAAAGCCCAGCTGACGAATTTGCTCCCATCCCCTTCTATTTCTAGGACCTACTGCTAACATGTGAGGTATAATGTATGTTACACATGTGCAAGCCTTCCTTGGCTTTGATCTTCCAAGCCTGGCTCTTAATGACTGGGACTAAAGGCTCTCAACAAATTCCACCGAGAACAAACCATAACAGTTTTCTGAGACCACCAACTTAATACACTAAGAAACTATCCTTAGTATTTTCTCCCCAAAGACCCTTTATCCATTCCATAGGAACATGATGTGCAAATTGATACCCTACAGAGCTTTGTGTTTACACTAAGCATTGTCTACTATGCAGCCTATGCATAAGGCAGATATATTCATATTTGACCAATATAATAATCATCTTAATGATAATCACATTCCATAGTATGCTACATACTGCAACTTCTACCTCTTTGATTGCAAGCATACCTTCTTAAAATTAGGGATGTTTACTCAAGCTTAATTTAATTCATGAATAAGAACCAGTCAGGTCAAAAGAACATTTCCCCAAGCCATCAACACACAGCTATAAAAGTGCTGTTTCAAGCACATGAGCTACCATGTGTAATGTTAAATAATTTTGTTCATAATAAAAATACCAATGTCAGACTGATTTTTAGTTGTGATTGCTGATCTGAAGAAAGAACACATCCCTTCATGTTACTCCCAAACTATGTTAATGACATAATGGCATTCAGTGATATAACCATGAGCTGTAAGCAGTACTGAATTACATTTTCATCATTAAAAAAGGACCTTATCCATAGCTACCATGGTGACAAAACACTAGCGTAAAAAGTTGTGCCTCCACTACAAGGAACTATTCTTCTACATGGCATTGAAAAATATCAAGTGCATCATGAGAGACACAAAAGGCCTGAAAAGAAACAAAATTGCCTTGATTATGAACATACTGGTTTACAACTAAATTTGTCATGCACGGCTACAACTCCTCACCCTCCCCTCAAGAATCTCAAGTCATTGTTGGGACTGAAACACTGCTCTGGAAAGGGATGGTTCTTTGTATAAGGATTACTCTATTCAGACTTTCTGCCAAGCATCAGCCACATAAGGAAAGCAAAGTTCACTGCCATTTATTTTGTCCAGATCTTTCTGATGCCTAAGAATAACCCTTACTGCTGCTTGGAAAGGTAAGTCTATAAATTGCAAGTCAAATCATTTATTTGTTATCAGCCACTGAACATGCTTTAGGCATTTATATGTTAACATTTTTCCTTACAGTATATCAAACAGATCTAGTTGGATTATTTTTTCTTAAATCACTAAATTACTCCACGATGTTAAAGATCTACCTATGTAGGAGTATTAAAAATTTTGCACAGAAATTACTTTGTCCAAGACTCCCAAATACCAATACATGTCACACATTGGCAAGACTGAAGCATACACATCCTATCTGACCAACATGTTGCTTGTGAGTTTCACAAACAGGAACAAACATTCCAGAGTTATGGTTTCTACCTCGTTCTAAACATTCACAATATGAGAAACTCCTTGCCTTCACAAAAGAACTAACCTATAATTGTCTCTTTGATGCATGAGAAATAAACTTCCATCTAGTTAGTTGGTGGAACAAGCACTAGAGGTACAAAATCCTACACTAAAACTTCACATTTAATTTGCCCTTCAACAGCTTCGAAAAGGAGTTCTTTCAAAAATTAGAACGGGGAAAGTGGTCACCAAAACCAAACAAGGCTGCATTAACAGCTTCAATTGCAAGCACGTTAAAAAGTCAGATAACTATCTATCTGCTTTGGTATTGCTCTGTATTTTGTTTTAAATGAAGGTTCTTAAGATGAACTTTGCCAGGATCAAAATGCAGGACAGACCTCTGCTATACAAGCTGAAAAACAAGCAGTCCACCTCGTCGCTTTGAGAACAGAGAGGGTAAAGGGGAAGAAGACGGGTGACTGTAGCAATCGAAGGTGGAAAAACCGCGACATTTACAGATGACCAGGGGGGCATATTTTTATACAGAAACTTAAGAGCAATCCTGAAGAAGTCCGGCCAGACACTAACCGATATTCCAGAAAACAAGGCAGACATAAGCACGAAGCCTCAAGAGCTTGCGATTAAATAAAATATATTACCTCCTTTATGACTTTCTCATTTCCCGATAAGTTAATTATACTTGCAGGGTTACCAAACGTTTTGGAAGGGAGGGAGCTGAAGAAGCAGTTACGCAGTCGAGCAGCTTCAGCTCAGTGCCTTCTCGGACCGAACAAAGAAACTTCTGTGTCCGATGAGATTAAAAACTTTCGGTCTCACAGACTCTTTCCCTGCCTCCATGAAACCAGCGCCTCGTTTCACACGTTCAGGCGAGACGGGGAGAACTACAATGAGCAGTTAAACTGTGCAGGCCAAGGCGGAAAACAGAGACAAAATATAAAGGCCAAAAACAGGATATAAAACGAAGCCTGAACTCCTTGCTTTTTTCTCCACCCCCTTCCCAGAGGAAGGATTTTTCTGTTGTTTTTGCTGCTGCTGATCCCAAGCCTTCCCTATTTACCTTAGCTGTCGGGGCGTCTAAACCAGATCCAGCAGGCAGGAGTTTCTTCCGACCCCAAGTTAAATCCAATCGAGTTTTCTTCTCCAGGGAGGGAGAGGGCGGGGAGAGTAGGAGAAGGAACGTTAGCAGCTTTCGCCGAGGACGAGGGAGTTCGTGTGCACGGGGAGAGGGCACCAGAGCTGCCGGGCTCCTCCCGGCCCCCGCCGAGCTCTGCCCCGCGGCCGGCCCCACGTCGCGCCGGCCCCGCCCGGCGGCGACACCGCAGCGCCCCCCGCCACCCAGCGCGGCCCGGCCTGGCCTGGGCCGGCCCGCCCGCCCCCCGGCGCGATGGGCACCGCCGGTGCCCCCCGGCTGCGCACCCGTGGTCGCGCTGCCCGAGCGCGGCCGCCACCGCCAAGGGCTGAAGAGAAGCGGCATGGCCGCCTGCCTCACCTGCCCGCCGCCGCCGCCGCCGCCCTCGCTCCCCGCCTCCTCTCGCCCACTTCCCCCTTCTCCCGCGGCTTCAGCCTCCCACCCCCCTCCCCGGCCTCGGCAGCGGGGGGCCAGGGGAGGCGGCGGAGCTGTGGGAAGGGGGAATGAACGTCGCGGGCAGACACGCGGCGGGGGGAAAGGGAGGTGGCCGCGGGCGAAGCCGCCGCGCCCCTGCTGCTGCCGGCGCCGCGCACCGCTGGCCAGACGGGGGAGGCACTGCAGCGGCACGGGGGGCGGAGCGGGAGCAGAGCCCCGGCCGAGACCTGGCGGAGGCGGAGGCGGGCGGGCGGGAACGGGAGCAGCAGCAGGAGCAGGCAGGCGCGGCGGGCGCGCCCACACTGGCTGTGCCGGGTGGGAGGAGGGACGGGCGGACAGCGCCGGGCGGGGGGCCGAACTGGGGGAAAGCCGTGAGGGACGGGCGAAGCGGCCAATGGGGCCCGGCGGGGGCGGGCTGTGCAGCGGCAGAGCGAGGCGGGGCGGGGGGCGCCGGCGCGGGTCTGGGGTGGGCGCGGGCCGGCGGGAGGGGCGCCGGGCGGGGGCTGTGTCTCGCCGCCGCGGAATGGCTCCTCCCGCTGCTGCCCGGCGTGGGGCCTGTCCTAGTTTGTCTTCTGCAGGCAAGCTACGGGCAAATTCAGTCCTGAATGACAGAAGTTTCCTCGTTAACAGCTCAGCTTCGTTATTTAATGGTTGCACACCCTCTGTAGAAAGCGCTGAGGCGCCGGCTCACGCCGTCAGGTGCTGCCTTTGCGCCTTCGTGGCCATCCCACCCCTGCTCCCGCACCTTGTGCTGCCTGACTCGGAGCTACCAAGGGTCTGAGGGAACGAACACACCCAAGGGAAAAACTGACAGCGTCCACCCACGCTTTGGTGTTTGGGTGTGCTACGTTAAACTTGGATGCAAACAACAACAATTAAAATAATGCCGCACATATTGTCACAATGTTTCACGTAAACCCTGGAACATTGCTGTACTTCCAAGTATTTCAACACTGTCAGTACAATACAATAGTACTGAAAATGCGTGTTGACTGACAGAGTCATGTACAAATACATGCTTGAAAAGCCGGCAGTGCATAGGTCACACGGCTTTGGTATCGGTTGGGTTTGGATTGCAGTAGTACAGTTGTGATCCAAACAGAAACACTGAGTTTCTGTTTAATTTCCTGGATTGTTTGAAATGGGTATTTGATAACCTATTGTGTATGCAATATGCCATTTTAACAGTTCTGGAGCCTGGAGTTCTGCTCAGCCATAACAGCACATGAAGCTGACAGCAGGGTGGAATTGTACATGCTGCTCACCTTATGCTCCTTAATTGTGCTCAGCAGAGACCATATCTAAGGAAAGAGGTAGTTTTGTTTTCACGCTAATTTAATCCCTGGCTACTCTACTGGGACAGCTACCAACTAAAATGGAACAGTGTTTTGTGATGATAATCTGTTTACTGAGAAATTGGCAAAATGCTAAGAAGTGCCATTGAACAGTAAGGTAAAATGGTATGACATGTTACTATTGACCTGTCCCTGATTTTAACGTACAACTAGATGAGAAAAGTCCTTTATACCCCTACCAGTCCTTGACAGTAACTCACATTGATACTTCCTGTTGAGGATCATTGCTTGCTTTATCTATTTTCTTATAGGGTTTTGCATGAAGGGTTTAATCTTTCTCAACAAAACATAGAGATGATCAAATTTTTATAAAAGTCCACTCTGTTTAACAATAGTGTTATTAATTTTAAACTTCTTGCCTGTATATGGGAATTGTATGTTCAAATATCCAGCTTGTATCCAGATTCAAAAAAGAAGCATGCGTTTCTACTAGGATAATAATATTCACTTACTGTTTCTTTACTTTTCTCTGTCTTCGCAGAGCATTCAGCCCTACTTTGGGGACTACATCTCTGCCTAAATTTAAATAATTAAACTAAATCAAATGTAGTCATCAGAGTTTATAAAAAAGAGAATTGTATATGTATATATAGATATTGCCCAAAACATTAAATCGCTTCTATTTCTTCTTGTTCGGAAAAGCCATTTTCTTCAAATGAGTCAGCTTTGGACTAAGGCCAAGCAAGAGAACTTTACCCCCACTGACAACAGCTTTAGAATTTCTCACTACAGTGCCCTGCATTGGTGCCCTACACTGTGTCTATAATAAAATTACTAATTTTTTTTTAATCTCTTGCAAATGATTGATCATTCATGTCATAAATCACATAACATATCATAATTAATGTGATTAGCTCTCTGCAACTGATGCCCTCCATCATGAACTCTTCAAGGCACTTTCCTATGTGAATTATCACAACTTTTTAATGTGAGAATATTTTTTGGAAATGTATACTGCAAATTTCCCAGCAGAGTATGCAGCAGAGTAATAATGGGTGTGAGAAGTAGTATATAGTATATATATTATAGTAGCTGTTGCTCAGGTGGTGAATCTCCCATAGTTGTTAACATAAGTTGCAATGTAAGATGCTGTTTCAGTTACAATTTTAGCTATCACAATAAAAGCCTATCCAAAGTCTGCTGAAACTACAGCTAGCTGGAGCATAACTACTGAAGACATTTTGCACAGACAAGATATATCTATACTATCTATACAAATTAAGAAAATACCAGGAGTTATCCTAGGGATCTGAATGTGCTATAAATATCAAGACAGTATTTAGATTACAGCTCCAGCAGAGGTCCCCAGCAATATTAATTCCCAGAGATGGTATCCCAGTTACCAAATAATTACAGATTAGGTGCACAAAGGACAAAATACAGAGTTACATAATGAGTCTTTCAAGTAAAACTATGCATCTGATCCCACTGAACATTTAAACAAATCCTTTATACACACTTTAATGCGGGACATCAAGCCCAAACTCCTCTCATTTTAATTTCTATTTTTATATTTTAATAGGAACACTAGTAAATACTGCAACAATATGCACCTAAATCAAAAGAACATTTGGTGAAACAGTCACCTGTATGTTTGTCTCTCAGGAGTTAAGTGGTCTGAACAATTACTACATAGTTTCTTCTGAGTGACAGGGTTTAATTGCTGCTTTTCCCTATTCTTACTACTGTTGTTCATTATGATTGCATGTTTCCACTTTTCCAGGAAATAGATTGAAAGGCCTCTGGGGTAAGCACTTCTGCTTATTAAATGCTCAGGTAGTGACTTGAATGATGGATTTCAAATTGATTTGAAGTGGAACTTCTGGGCATGATTGCAATACAAATATTAAATAATAATTAGTGGAAGTAATAACCACCTGAAAGACACAAAGAGGCAATAAGTAATTTTTTCTCTAACAAGTATATATTGAAGTTCATTTTAAGTATCCCATAATTTAAATTTGCCAAAATATCTTACTGTAGCATTTTCTGAATTTATGTGGTTGACAACTGGATGAATTTATACTGGTGAAATTAACACAAAACTGTCATAATTCAGTGGCAATTAAGTCTTAGAAGTGTGTTGCTATAACTTCTAAATGCATCATGAGTATCTACCATATTTGAAGATAAACTAAGTAAACAACTTCTATTCAGTACAATCCCAAATATACACTGTCTAAATACACCATACAAATAAGTTTTCTCTGTATTTGGTTTCTTTGTTTCTCAAACAGTAAAATCAAAGTGATTAATTATTATGCAAGTACCAAGAGAAAACCTTGGTAACACCAGAACCTATTTTTTATATTCTGTGTTCTAGACATTGTTAGGAATGTTTTAGAGTTATTTTTAACCATTATATTTTAACTTTTTGCTTGTATTTATCTTCCTTGGTTAGCATGGGAGAGCTGGTGAATTCTGAGGAACACTTGGGACATGGAGGAGTATTTCATATGGAGGAGAAAAGACAAAAAGGTGGTGTTAAGGTTCTTTTACTCTTTCCTGATTTGGACTGCTTTGCTCCTGGACAGTCTCCTTAACACTGATTTTAAGTTATACTGCAGCCTCTTAGCCTAAGGGTCTGTTTTGACAGCTGATGCCACCACATAAATTTTGTTCTGGTGAAAACAAAGAGAAAGGAACGAAAATGAAGCCAGACTATGTAAGGACACTGACATCTGTAGATCATAACCAAAAATCTTCTGCTGACTAGTTTAAGACAAAGAGTTATACACGAAGTTGGCAGAAAAAGCCAACTGCGAAGTTGCCTAAAATAAGCCATGTGCTCAGTACATTGCCTATGCCCCGATGGTAGTTTTGGATTGCCTTTGCTAAGTTCTTGGATCCTAGAAGGGTAGCAATTAATGCTGTTGAGGTTGTTTGTGTCCAAATAAAAATCCAAAAAGAATGCTGTACCAACTTCTAATCAGATCTGGGAATACTTTTCTATGGAAAGTCAATTATGCTAGCTCTGTAGGACCCATCATCACACAAGCATTAAATAAAACCAGATTTCTCTAATTGTAGGATGAATTGCAGGATGAATTGCATTTATTTTACATTTTATGGCTTACCTCTATTTTGACAATTAATGCTGACAATACAAATCTCTTAGTCTTTAGCACAATGTTGTGTGTATGCACACATACATTTTTTACCTTTCCCATGTCTTTTTCTGTGAATAATGTCAATAATGTAAAAATAAATGCTAACAATGT